ATTTGTGCTTGTACCAAGCCATACTCATATTTTTCATATATTATTAATATATATATATGATATATATATATATAATATATTATATATATATTATATATACTATTATATATAACCTTCGGTTCTATTTTAAACTTCGGTTCCATTGCCAACCTTCGTTTTTGATTTAAAACGCTTCGGTTCATCTGAACCTTCAGGTTTTTTTGTTCCAATGATTATTCAATCTTGAACTTCGGTTTGTTGTTATGGCTCCTTAGAGAAAATTCCTAAATCACCACTTCTCCTCAATGATCAAAATGACTGGATAGGGTGGTCCACCATTGTCACTAATGCCTTGTGAGGCGGTGGTTTGCTTGATCATCTCACCAATACGAGACCAGTTCCACTGTCCATCAGCACTGTTGCTTCATCTAGTACTATTACATATGACAGTGGTGATGTGACTGCTCGTGCTCTCTATGTCAAGGAGAGTTCATACTTACAGTTGTAAGAATTTTGTATCATGGATTATCTCACTTGTTGTGTTGGCTCCGGTCTCATTGTCAAAATTAGTTTACTTCCCTCTGCTCGGGCCATGTGGACTCACCTTGCTTAGCATTTCACTGAGTGTCTGGTGCACGGGAGGCATATTCTGCAACGTGTTGCTCTACAATGCAAAGGTAGTTCCTGTCTACAGTCTTATTTTGGACAAATGCAATCTTTTGGACAGATTACGTTCCATGTTTCCTGGACGTGATTCCACATATGAAGACCAGCTAGCCTGGTACAAGCGGCATGATGTGCATTAACTGTTTCAGTCCCTTCCTGAATATTCAACTATGACTGGTCAACTACTTCATTAGCCTTCATTTTTGACTTTGGCCTCAGTTATGGGAGCTCTCACTGCTTATGATTCCCGACAGCAGATAGCACAACTTAATTTATCAACAGACGCTCCTACCTCTTTATTCGAGACTGCTCTGTCTGTACTTGTCACTGCTCCTGTTATGAATCATACTTCTCAACAGGCACCCTCTCCACATGCTCGATCTAAGCTCTCTTGCAAATATTGCAAGAAGAAAGGGCACCGCATTGAGACATGCTTCAAGTTTCATCCTGAGTTACGTTCCTCAGGTATTGATTGTGGTCGGTGACCCCTTCAGTCTTAACTCTCTCGTACACCAAGATTTCTGGCCAATGCTATACCTTCTACCACTTCAGACTCTACTATTCAATCTATTGAAGGTTTTCGCCGACAACTTAATGCTTTTCAGTATATCACCTCTACATGCACTGCACAACTCTCTGGTATGCATTTTGTTGGTTCTTCAGCTAACCCTTTGGTCTTTGGTATGAATGATCTCTGGATTTTTAACCCTGCCAAACTGTATCATAAAATCAACTAATGAATTATTCTTCAAAACAAATTTCTTGAAGAATGCATGTCCACTTTATGCTCATTGACTACTTGATATGTCTGCTGAGAAAATGTGATTAACATATACAAGAATCCATCTTGACCGAAGTTTATATTGGTCTTACAACCACTTGTTTCCTTCTAACCCACTTTTCTTAATCAGACTTTCCCATTGTAAATCAAATTCTTCTGGAGTCTCTGATTTCCAAATACAAGCCGAGAACTCACTTTTATAAATACTATACTTCACTGCATCAATTTTCTTAGAAAACTTCATTAATATATGCTAACTACAATACATGTCAAAAGAATTAAATAAAGTGTTAAAAAGAAAGGCTATGTATATAAATATTTTCAATAATATATACAAACTATAATACCTGTGAAAAGTATTTGGAAGAACAAGAGAGAATGCCTTAGTCATAGCTAGATCTTGATCGGTAATAATCATCTTCGGAGCACCACCAGGCATACTTTCCAAAAATTGATTAAATAACCATACAAAATCATCAACGCTCTCATGATTTAATAATCCACAAGAAAAAATAATTGTTTGACCATGATTGTTAACCCCCATTATTGGTGCAAATATAAGGCCATAGCGATTAGTGTTATAAGTAGTATCAAAGATTACAACATCACCGAAAAATTTGTAAGCCCGCCTTGATCTTGCATCAGACCAAAAACAACGAGTAATCTTTTGTTCCTCATCTGCCACAATTTGAAAAGTAAATGAGGGATTCTTTCTTTGTTCCAATTTTAAATACTCATAAATTATTTCACCATCATGCCCCTTCAAAACAGCATGGATATCCCTTTCATGATTATACAAATCTCTTTGAGTGCACCCAATATTTTTTATACCTCCAGATTGTACCCAAGAAAACTGAATTGTTGATGCTGAGGTATATTCACCATGGGTAACTGTTTAGTTAGAGACTTTGTTATGGCTGAAACGTTACGATGGGACCTTAAAAGATGAACCTTTGATGGTGTTGATAGTGAGTGGCTGTGCTCCTCATTAAAAACAGTAACAATGTATTTTCCGGAGTTTGATTTTAAAACTGTAATTTTGGCAGTACAATCTTCAGCTAAGCTTCCTTAACGTCTTTTCTTTCCAACATCTGTGATTTTAGAGATTTTCCTTGTTTAAAACAAACATACCCCTTCCTTCTTATTTCACAACTTCCCGGCTCTTTCTGAGTAGTCTAAGACCTTACACTAAACCCAGCTGCTTTAGCATAAATATTGTAGAATGTCATAACATTATCTATTGTGTCAAATTCTTGCCTCCTTTTTGGCCTCAACTCATCTGATACTTGAAGAGTATATATCAAATCATCGTCGTCCAAGTTTACTTCATTAGCTTCAGTGCCCAAGTTATCCATTTCTCACAAAAATTGTAATTGACCTATATAAAATACATATAATATCAAATTTCATAAATTCGGTATATTTACAGATTAAGATGCAACAAGTATTCTGCAATTAACCATGTTAAAAATTTATGCAGATTAAGATGCAGCAAGTATTGCATACTAACAGAGTTCTTTTCATTCTTGGAGCAGTTTCACTGTAGATATGTTCATTGACACAGTTTGCTATTTTTTGCAGATCTCTTCTACTGTGGATCCATCTGATTATACACTTAACAAGAACACTGATTATACAAAAGCATCCCCTAAAGATAAATCTGAACTTTGGAAACCCTTAAATTGTCTAGTAGAGGTAGCAAACAGAACAAAAGTTGCAAACAGAACAAAAGTTGTTAAGTCCAGTTCACAGAGTTCGGATATCAAGGAAGAGCAAATAAATGGTGCGGATAGTAAAGTTGTTCTGGATAAAGTTAAGGTCATAGAACATCCAAGTAAGCCCAAAATTCAGGAAGATAATAATAACAGTACCTATACATCTTTAGTAAAGGTGAGAGCTCAAAGACTTAAACGCAAGAGAAAGAGAGATCCGTACCTGAGTTGGGGGATCTCGAGAGAGAGCTCGAGGGAGATCGGCCGCGATCGGCGATGATGGGGGTCTCGCGGTCACCGGAGTTGGGGGAGGTTGGTGGCTTGATGGAGGAGGAGAAATGGGCACGTCGAGATCCGGTGATGGAGATGTCGCAGTCGGCGGTGATAGGGTTGTCCAGAGTCAGTGGCGGTCAGTGATGGGGATGTCGAAAGCGGGGGCTTTCAATGACGTTAGTCGGTGGTGGTGATGCTGATGTCGCCGCCGGCGGTGATGGGGCCGGCGCTTTCGTCGGTGGGGGAAGTCTGTTCCGAATAAGTCGCGGTCGGCGGTGACGGGGATGGATTTAGGGAAGTCGGTGAAGTGGATTTGATTTTGGGGGAATGAGAAGAGAGAGTGAGGTCACGAGAAGGATTTAACAGTGCTTTCGGTGACTTTTTTCAAAAAAGCCCCCGCTTTCAATCCCCAAGTACGGTCACAAGCTCGTACTCATTTGTCGGAGGATTTTTTCAAAAAAAAACATCTTTACTCGCTACAGTAGACTAGAGATTCGCATGACTTATTCTGCACTTATACTTTGCCCCTCTTATCTTTTCTGGAAAAATCTTATATCACATCATAATCTGTACGGATACACGCAGCAAATAGTTTACTAGAGCCCTCGCCGGCCACATCCATTCTTATTCCCATGCAACTTACGCCAGGAATCTTGTGGATCCCACATCTCAATGGACAATGGTGGCTCCCTTTGATGATTTATTTGTTCATATTTTATTCATAAAGGTCACATCCGCATACATTTCTCGTTATATCGACAGCGACTCTTTTTGGGCCGGAACCTTATCGATTTTTGAAAAAATTGTTTTAAACTCATTATATGTGAAAATTAAATGTGGATTGTCAAATATCACGTTAAAGAAACCTAGCATACCAAAAATTTAAAGTTATTGTGAGTGTTGAAAATTATAAGTTCATATTTTAATGCAATTTTTTTTTTTTATTAGTACCTCTCATGCTTGTATATAAGGATTCTACATATTTCAGTATAATGCGGAGAAACCCCCAATTCTATATATTCATAGGTGTAATATATAGCCTCTAGACTCTACAGATATAAAAGGACATAACGATAATTATGTTTATGTATCAACGGCTCTATGTGCTAAGAAAAAATATACAAATTAATTAATAAAAATTAATCCCTTATGGATAGTGTACAATTAATTTGTAGAGATTATTTTTCGGAGAGAACAATATTTGGAGAAAATATAACGTCTACATAGACTGATTGGCGCCCAATAGGTCATCCTTACAATCCTTGATATGCGACATTCTTAAAAGTCCCCGCAATATTAAAACTAAAGTAGCTGATTATATATAGAATGACCGTATTGAGAGTGCAAATATTTCAAAAGGATATATTTAACGCTTTAAACCTTTTCTTTGTCCTTGACACAAAGAATCACCGACAAACTTCCATAATAAAATAACCAAAAGATATATCAATAAAAATGTTTCATTCCTGTATCTCTAATTTAAAATATTGCAAGCCAACACGCTTCTTCTGAGGCTATATAAACCCCTTGCATGGAGCTCAAACTCAATATCCCACCACAGTCACTTATAACAATACTAGTAATTAAACACCACTATGGATACTGTGATGAGACTAGCATCCCAAAAGGCAGTGGTGATCTTTAGTATGAGCTCATGTTGCATGAGCCACACCGTGAAAACTCTCTTCCGTGATCTCGGAGTCAATCCGGCAATCTATGAGCTCGATGAGGAGCCCATGGGGAAAGAGATGGAAGCGATGCTCAGCAGAATACTTAGCCACAGGCGACCGGTTCCAGTTGTCTTCATTGGAGGGAAGTTGATTGGATCGACAGAGAAAGTTATGTCTTTACATCTTGCAGGAAGTTTGGTCCCAATGCTGCATGATGCAGGCGCGCTTTGGCTCTGATCCTCTATTAGATATGAATATGGTTGTGACTGTAACATTTATTTAGTTTGAGTACTTTTTTTTTGTACTGTTTGAGTAGGAGTGAATGAAATATTTTCACAACAGGTGTACGTTGCATTGATATTATGTTGCGTGTGGCACTTAGATATGTATGTGTAAACATTAATTTGCCTTTTGATTTGTTGCAAGAAGTACAATATATATGTTGACTTAAGGAGTTATACTTACCAATGAAAATCAGTTGTTAGTACAGTCAAGTGTTTTTTATCTTTCTTTGAAAGGTCACCACATATTCGTTCAGGATAAGATGTCGATATATAACTTCATTTGATCGTAAGGTAAAAGTTTGCTATATATAATATATACACAAAAGAAAGTTAAAAGACCATCTACCAAAGTAGGCTAAAACCACTCACTGAATAAATCAATAGCTATTAATAAAGTATCTGCACTATTTTTTTTATAGTGGATAGAGTCCAAATTTGTTAAGAAATGAGGTAAAATGGGGGTTATTAATTTTTCATTTTATTAATTCAAAATTTTAAATTTTTTGAGTTGTTATCCCTTAAAAATAGGAGATATACGTGATTCATATCCCTCTACTAAGCTGTGTCAAGTGTTTCTTCTACCAAATATTGTTGTTTTTAGTTTTACTATTAACTTGGTATATTATATTCATCAAATGATATAAACAAGCTTATAGTAATCAGAGAACAAGAGGAAAAAGATTCAAAGTCGATCTTTTAAATATTTTTTGACATGTCCTTGAGAAGTTATTCCTGTAAAAAAAACCATGTGTAAAATACAAGGAAATTATATGCATGGAGAGTGAGCTAAATGCCTCGATGAATATTCTCGATTGTCAAATCATTCCCCTAAATTGTCTACATATTATAGTTACGGTATATATCCACATCAGATACATATCAAACAAGACATTTACTGTTGTTTTCTATGTTAGATCTACATCATAAAACTTGAGATCTAAAACCATATAGCCATGATTAATTCAAAGAGAT